AAGAAGAAGAAGAAGAAGAAGAAGAAGAAAGAAAGAAAGAAAGAAAGAAAGAAAGAAAGAAAGAAAGAGGCCAGGTGATTGACAAGAAAATAACTTGTTTCAATTTCAGATCAAGGGTGGCAAAGGCTGTGCTAAGCTAACCAAAGAAATGTTGCGTAGCAGGTTCCCCAACCCCAGCGAGCTTCTCGGCCACTCAATCTATGTGACTGTGACAGTGCTGACGGACACAGGTAAGGGAGTGGTTCCCTTAGCTAGTTGCTGGGTTTTCAGACCGGAGCAGAGCTTAAGTGATGCATAGCTAACCCCAGCAGGCTTGGCACACGGCTGTGGCCTTCTGATCTTTCCAGTGCCTCTGTAACCGGGGATAGAGGAAGCAAAGGGGTGGGTTTTGCTTTGTATCCTAAAAGCAGCAAAACATGGACTCATCTTCATCGTTGTTGTGTTTCAAACCTCGGAGTTCCTGTTCTCTGTATTACAGCAGACCCCCAGCTGAGATCAGGGCCCCCTGGGCTGGGCACTGCACAGACACACAGGGAGAGACGGTCTCTGCCCCAGCTGAGATCAGCGCCCCTTGTGCGGGGCGCTGCACAGACACACAGGGAGAGACGGTCTCTGCCCCAGCTGAGATCAGGGCCCCTTGTGCGGGGCGCTGCACAGACACACAGGGAGAGACAGTCTCTGCCCCAGCTGAGATCAGGGCTCCCTGTGCCGGGCGCTGCACAGACACACAGTTCCCGCCCTGGATAGCTCACAGTCTAAACAGACAGAGGAACAATCACTATCCCCATTTGATGTATGATGAGCTGAGACACAGAGTGATGAATAACTTGCTCAAGGTCACACACCAGAGTCGGTGACAAAGGCAGGCACTCAACCCAGATCCCCTGAGTCCCAGTCCAGCCATCACCTCAAGACCAAACTTCTTCTTTTTTTTAATCCCCAAGGGAGTGACATGGTGGAGGCTGAGAAATCCGGGATCCGCATTGTGACCTCTCCCTACAAAATCCTCTTCTCCCGATCTGCTACGTACTTCAAACCCGGGCTGCCCTTTAACCTGGTGGTATGTCCAGCCAGCGGGGTTGCCGGCATAGAACCTTTATAGTGTTATCTCACAGCCTGATACGGCTAGCTAACAGATCTGCGTGCCATTGGAGAGCAGGGATGATTCGCTTTCTAATGGTGTTCAGCGTGAGAGCCTGCCTTTAGTAGTTCACGAGAAATCTTACCTGGAAGTGGTCATTGGAGCAGGCAAAAATAGACAGACAGGTGTCTGCATTGCAACCACTACCGGCACAGGCTGGCCTCGCTGGGCATAGCGCAGCATAGAGGCCCAGGGTTGACTGAGCTCCCCTTAAGTGGAGGACGTCAGGGTTATTTGGGCAGTGTTGCTGTCATGGGTACAACCAGGCTTTGTAACTGACCAGATCAGACACGGGGGAGGACGCTGACCTGCAGGTTACATGCCTGGGCTGGGAGTATGTAGAGAAGGCTCCCAGGAGACCTACAGGGCACCTTCAACCATCACTAAGTTCACATCCACCCTCTCTCCTGTCTTCCGATGCCCAGGTCTCCGTGGTGAACGCGGATGGTTCCCCCGCCCCCCAGGTCCCCGTGCGCAGCGGGACAGGCGCCGGTGGTTTGACACAGGCTGACGGGACAGTGCAGCTGGCGATCAACACCCCAGCAGACGCATCTCAGCTCTCGGTGAAGGTGCATGTCGGGTCACTCGGGGCAGGATGCTCCTTGGGTCCTGGTGCTGGTTCCCTACACGTTCTGTTGATATAGGAACTGGACCAGATCGGGGACAGGTCTGATCTAGGACCCTACAGGTCCCAGGCCCCGGACAATGTCAAAGGCAGGAGGCAACTGGGTCTGATTCTCTATTGCTCATCCTACCTAAGACCCACCCGCAGAGCAATGGGCCTTCCTGGCTGACATAGCCCTGCCTTCTCCCCGCTAGACCCCAGGGCCAGGGGCACACTGGAGAAGCAAGATGCCCCAGCTGCTGCACTCTGGCTAGACTCTGCTCCTCGTGGCCCAGAGGGGCTGGGTTGGGAGCAGAGGGTAGGTCAGGGCAGCTCTAATCTGATGATGGGGGAGGGATAACTCAGTGGTTTGAGCATTGGCCTGTTAAACCTGGGGTTGTGAGTTCAATCCTTGAGGGGGCCACTTGGGGATCTAGGGCAAAATCAGTACTTGGTCCTGCTAGTGAAGGCAGGGGGCTGGACTTGATGACCTTTCAAGGTCCCTTCCAGTTCTAGGAGATGGGATATCTCCATTAATTATTATTAAACTGAAGGCTGGGGTCTGGGCCCAAGATGCAGGGGGCACAAAGATGGCTTAATTCCGGCAAGGCCCCAACTATCTAGGGCTGGGCCCATGTAAGTCAGTGGGAATTTTGCCCTTGACTCCAGCGGTGTCAGGATCTGGCCCCTTTTAGACCTGATCCTTAGCTGTCTCTGATGAAGAAAGTCCGTTAACCGTCCCCCCTATCGTCCCCCAGGTGGAAACTGTGGTTGCCAACCTCCGGCAGGAGCATCAGAGCTCGGCGGTCTGGGCCGCGGTCGCCTACGGGTCGCAAGGGGGCTCGAGGAACTACCTGCACATCTCGGTGCCGGCCACTCAGCTCCAGCCGGGGAACGCCCTGCCTGTGAGCTTCAGTTTGCGGAACAGTAACGCTGACGTTCAGCGGCAGATCCACTATTTCACCTACCTGGTAAGAGGCAGCCTCGCTGTGTGCGCAGCAGGGGAGGAGACGGTGACAGGGGGCTGGGAGTCGGGACTCCTGGGGTCCCAGCACTGGGAGGGGAGTGGAATCTAATAGAGCAAGGGGCTGGGAGTCAGGACGCCTGGGTTCTATCGCCAGCAGTGGCAGGAGAATGGGGTCTAGGACTCCTGGGTTTCCTTCCTGGCTCTATGTGATTTTGTGCTGTTATCACTGGGACTCATCCAGTGACAGCGAATGCCTTCTGCTTCCCCATCAGATCCTGAACAAAGGGAAGATCATCCGGGCTGGAAGACAGGCCAGGCAGGCGGGACAAACCCTGGTGACCATGTTCCTGCCCATCACTCCAGACCTCATCCCTTCATTCCGCATCGTGGCTTACTACCACGTAGGGCAGAAGGAGATCGTGGCAGACTCGGTCTGGTTGGACGTCCAGGACTCCTGTATGGGAACGGTGGGTTGATCTTCTCCCTGGCACTTACGTCAATATATTTAAATAACCTGATGGATTCTGGCTGAGAGGAGAGCAGGTTCCCAGTGGGAAAATTACTCCCAGGGTAGATCTGACTCAGTCCTTACTCGCTGATTAAACCTAAGATAGATAGGGACAGTCTCGCCTCATGCTTACACCAGGGTATAACTCCACTGACTTCAGCGGAGTGACTCCTGATTTACCCCAGTGGGAGGACAAGTGAGGCCATTAGGTGGGATCTTCAGCTGACGTAAATCATCTAAGCGCACTTCAGAGTGACATCCATTTACACTAGCTGAGGATCTGGCCCATTGGGTTATTACTGATTTACACCAGTGGGAGAAGAATTGGGTCCATTCACTTCAGTAGAGTTACTCCTGATTTACACCCTATGGACGCAAAAGGAGAATCAGGCCCTCAGGCAAAGCTCTCCCTGGTGATAGGAGCAGAACTGTCAAAAAGGTTCCCATTCTGCTCAGGCACAAAACAGAGACCTTGCAAAGTCTTTCACAAAAAAGATCAGAGCGAGACCACCCCACGCTGGCATCCAGGGCGCTCGCCTGGGCTGTGGGGGGCATGGGAACCTGGGGTTTCCATATCCCACTGGGCTGGTCTCAGCTCTGAGATAACTAAATCTTCACTGGAGGAGAGCAAAAGATGCTGACTGTCTAGCCCAATGGTTAGGGCACCCGCCTGGTATATTGGAGACCCACTTCAAGCCCCTCCTCCAACTTGGACAGAGCTTATGCTCTAATAAATTTGTTAGTCTCTAAGGTGCCACAAGTCCTCCTGTTCTTCTTTTTTGGACAGAGCAGTGATTTGAACTTTAGTCGCTGTTTTGGGGTCTCTCTCGCTGTCTCATTTTGAGCAGAACTTCCACGCCAGCTGAGAATCTTTCCCCGCAGAAAGGACCCGCCCCTGGCCCAAGAGATGGTTTGCCTTTGAGAGATCAGGGTTGGTTTTTGACGAAAAACTGTTTCATTGAAAAATTCCTGTTCGACGCTGCCTGAGAAAGGGATTGGCTCAAGTCTCCTCTACTTCTAGCTGCTAGGGGAGCGCTTCTTTAGCTCCAGTGGGCGACGCCGGTGTTTCTACAGCCCAAGGAGAGGGGTTCAAATCCCAAGGGGCAGCATGGGGATTCCATACCCCTGGGAGCCCCATGGTCATGGGGGGGGTCTCCTCATTCAGCAGTCACCCCCACGTGGCTGATCCATTCTTTCCTCTCATCTCCATGAAAGCTGAAGGTAACAGGCGCGACGGAGCAAGACAATGATGTCCAGGTGCCAGGTGGGCAGATGAATCTCCGAGTGAAGGGAGATCCCGGAGCCAGGGTCGGGCTGGTGGCTGTGGATAAAGCTGTTTATGTGTTAAACAGGAAATATAAGTTCTCCCAAGCCAAGGTGAGCGTTACGGCAGGGGGTGGTCAGGTGTGGGGACCGAACCGGGGACCTCTGTGTCTTGAAGCAGGAGCCACCCTGCTGCCTGAGTGAAAAAAAGGTAATCTTGCAGTAGCCTCTATGTATGTTACAGCCACCCCCGGAGGAGGACAGAGTCCTACCTGCAGTGGGGATGGGTTATATGAGAAGCTGAGGTCTCTATACCTCTGGTGATAGAGGGAAGTGGGGTCTAGTGGTTAGAGCAGAGGAGCTGGGAGTCAGGACTCCTGGGTTCTGTTCCTGGCTCTGGGTGGGGAGTGGTGCCCAGTAGTTAGAATGGGGCAAGGCTGGGGACAGGGCTGGGAGGCAGGACTCCTGGGTTCCACTCCACTGATGCCCGTCAGGGACAGGGTGTCGACGGCAGGAGGAGATTAGGGCAGGCGTGACCTGTGAGGCTGGATTCCCCACTACACCCACGATGGGTTTGAGGGAGGACGCCTTCCCAGTTTCATCCACGGGAGGGTCAAATTGAACAGATGGGGGAGAGGCCTAAAAGAAGGTAGTGAGCTGGCTTTGTGCGTGCACGTGAGCATTGCTGCCCCCTGCTGTCTGGACTTGGAGCTGCTCCATCACGTGTTCTCGACCTACAAGCTCGTGTGATAGCATGGCCCCAGTAGGCCCAGGTGCTGCATTAAAGTGCTGGTTTCTTTGGGAGAGGTTGAATCCTACTGCTGCCAGTCTGCTTCTTGGGCTCAAGGTCTGACTAGCTGATCGAACGTCCCCTCTGATCTGAACCTCCATGAATCCACCCTAGGTACTTACAGGGCCACCATTACTGTAGGACCCAAGCATCTCACAATCCTGTGCTGTTATCCCCGTGGTACGGATGGGGAAACTGAGGCCCAGAGAGGCTAAGTGACTTACCCAAGGTCACCCAGGGTGTCTGGGGCAGAGCAGGGAATGGCATTGTGTCCCCTCTTGTCTCTCCAGATCTGGGACGCAGTGGAGAAGAGCGACATTGGCTGCACTCCCGGCAGCGGCAAGGACCACGTGGGGGTGTTTGCGGACGCTGGGCTGCTGCTTCAGACCAACGTTGGCATTGAGACGCCCCAGCGGGCAGGTGACCCGGTGGTGCCACAGGGCTCTCCAGTGCAGGGCAGCACAGGATCGAGCCCACTGCTCATACCGCATGGGAACAGGGCGAACACAGCCCCAGAAGTCCCTCCCTTTATCAAGCCCCCCTCCCCTGCAGTACAACCCATCCTGGTCTTCTAGGGCAGCGGTTCTCAACCAGGGACCCCTGGAGGGGGGGGCCGCGAGCAGGTTTCAGGGGGGCTGCCAAGTAGGGCCAGTGTTAGATTTGCTGGGGTCCAGGACAGAAAGCCAAAGCCTCACTGCATGGGACTGAAGCCCGGGGCCCTAAATCCCGCCACCTGGGGCTGACGCCGAAGCCTGAGCAATGTAGCTTTGTGGGGGCCCCTGTGGCGTGGGGCCCTGGGCAACTTCCCTGCTTGCTACCCCCTAACGCCGGCCCTGGCTTTTATATGCAGATAATCAATTATTGTGACACAGGTGGGCCGTGGAGTTTTTCTAGCACGCTGGGGGGGCAGGGGGAGGGGCTCAGAAAGAAAAAGGTTGAGAACCCCTGGTCTAGGGGGTGCTGGTTTGCATGGAGCAGGACAGGGGCTAAGCAGGGGGAGCTCTCCCATGCTAGTCAGCGCTGACCCCAGTACCACAGTGTGGTGCTTGGGGGTGCTGTGTTGCAGGGAGCAGGGTGGAGAATCAGTAGGAGGCGCTCTTCCCTCTTAATCAGTACTGCCCCCAGTGCTCCAGCACTGTGCTACCAGAGGTGGGATCCTTTTCAGGGACAACTGTGAAACCAAGACCAGGAAAGGGCCACAGCATTTCTCCCCTGAGCCCTAGTGTTTAGCCTGACTAATGCCATCTCCCCACGGAGTTGCTGCCACACCCCCACGACACTGACGTGTGTTACTCTCTCTTGCCAGAGTCCCGCTGCTCCCAGCCCACTCGGCTTCGGCGCTCGCCCCTGATCTCGGAGAGAAAAGCTGCCAAAGGTAGGTGCCCCTCTGCACGGCCTCGTGCTTGCACGCACTCTCGCACGGCCTCGTGCAGGCACGCACTCTTGCACGCCCTCGTGCAGGCACACCCTCTCGCACGCCCTCTGCTTGCACGCCCTCTCGCACGCCCTCTGCTTGCACGCCCTCTCGCACGCCCTCTGCGCATGCCCCCTTCACGCTGCTGCTCTCGCACGTGCCCTCTCCCTCTCTCACGCCCGTGCCGGGCACTGAGGGGGCCCTGCTTTCCCGCAGCGAGGCAGTATCCAAGCCAGCGCTTGCGGAAGTGCTGTCAGGACGGCATGCAAGAGAACCCCATGGGCTACTCCTGCGACCGACGAGCCAAGTACATCCTGGAGGGCGGCGAGTGCGTCCAAGCCTTTCTCGACTGCTGCAAGCACATCTTCGAGAGGCTCCCCAAGGTCCACAGAAAGTTCCTGTTAGGTAAGACTCCGTCTGCACTAGGGGAAATGGGTTGCACCAGTGATTAGTGTCACCTGCACTAGGAGAGCTGGGCTCCAGGGGCAGGTCCTTGTAAGAAGGTTGAGGCTGCCGTATCCACCAGCTAACGGGCTCAAACAGCAGCCTAAGGGACTTGCTGTCACAGAATATTAGCACCAGGGGTCAAAGCTCACATTTTTAGCTCCGTTGGTCCAGGGTTCAAATCCCCGGTCGGGCCTATTATATTAGCCTGGTTGTAACCCACCAGGCATGCGGGCCCTGTAGCTCCCAGGGAAACACAGGCATTCCCACCCATCACTGGGCTCGCCCTGGCTCAGGGCAGGGCTGACCCCCTGTTTCGCTCCCCCTCAGCAGCATCCGTTCATCGGATGGCCCCCGGGAGGAGCCGGGAGCCTATGGATGAAGTCGCAGAGGACGGGGAGTACCTGGCGGACGAGGACATCGTCTCCAGGAGCCAGTTTGCCGAGAGCTGGCTCTGGCAAATGGAGCTGCTGCCGCAGGAGGCCGATCTGGACGGGTACAGGTCACCCCACTCGAGGGCGAAGGAGAAACACTGAGGGGCAGATTCATCCTGGCGCAGGCTGGGCTTCCCGTATTCCACGTGGCCCCCTCCGGGGCTTTGCAGGGGCACCAGATACCCAGAGCACTGGTGTTCTCTGGCCCCGCCCCTTTCCTCTCCCAGTCTGGCCCCGCCCCTTTCCTCTCCCAGTCTGGCCCCTCCCCATGCCCTGCCTCCACTCGCACTCGGACCCAGGTCTGTTCCACAGGGGGGGTTCTTCTCTCAGCAGCCGGAAGGGTCCCCCAACCTGATCAATTCCGCTCCCGTCTCTTCCAGGCTGGCTTCCAGAACGGTACCGGTGTACCTGGAGGACTCCATCACCACCTGGGAGGTGCTGGCCGTGAGCCTCTCCGGCACAAAGGGTAAGAGTGGGAGCCGTGTGTTCACCTTGGACTGGTGACGTGGCCAAGCGGGGAAGGACGGGCATGTGGTTAAAGCACGGGACTGGGAGTCAGGTCTCCTGCCTTTGGGAGGGAGTAGTGGCTAGTGGCTAGAGCAGGTTGGGAGCCTAGACAGCTGGGCCCGGTCCCCAGCTCTGGGAGGGGAGTGTGGGCTAGTGGTTACAGTGGGCCTCAGGACTCCTGGCTTTTATTCCCAGCTTGGACATTGATATGCCGTCCGACTCCTGCACGTCATCACTCCCTCGTTCTGTGCCTCAGTTTCCCTCTCTCTGAAACACAGTTAATCCTGTGGAGCATCTTGTGATTTATAACACCCTGATTCCCTTTGCTATGAGGCCAGACGCCTGGGGAGCCGGGGCTAGAACCTGCTACTGCAAAGACAGAATGCTGCCCCTGGAGCAAACAGAAATTCCCTTGCTTGGTAGGAGATGCTGCGGGCAGGTCAGGCCTAAATTGTAGGCCCAACCCAGACCCGAACTGGAGCCAAGCCCGAGCGGGTCGAGCGGTTTTCCAACCCAAGCCCGACTCAGCACCGTTGCCTCCTGCCCAAGGGGTTGGTGTGGCAGCAGCCCGGAGCGCTGCTCCTGCCGGCCGCCACGCCCTGCTGCACTGTGTGTGTGTCAGCGGCCCTGTGACTCCTCAGGGCGCTCACTCCGCAGCACAGGGAGGGGGTGGTGGCTGGCTCGTGTCGCCATGGACGGGAGAGGGGGAGCCGACCCGAGCCCACCCTGGGAGGGTCTGGATGTTTTCCCACCTAACCCAACCTGGACCTGATACCTGTAGCTGGGTTTGGGTCGGGTTGCAGGGCTCGAACCAGTAGCATCTCCTCTTTGGGCCTACCCACTAGATGGCAACATCATACACACCCAGAGTGAGCACGCCCCCAGCGGGGGAGGACAGCCCGATTCCACCCCAGAGGTGGCTGCACTTCGGTGGTGTGATCCTCATATACGCAGAGCTCCCGGACCCTCGCTGCGGGTGATACATGCAGAGAAGGCTGTGGAAGGTGCCCGCTGCCGAGGAGGGGTGGGCTTTGACTGGACTCCCTTCCCATTGCAGGGATCTGCGTGGCCGACCCTTATGAAATAACGGTGATGAAGCAGTTCTTCATTGATCTCCGGCTGCCCTACTCCGTGGTGCGGAACGAGCAGGTGGCCATCCGGGCCGTGCTGTACAACTACGCCCCCCGGGCTCTCCAGGTGAGTATTGCTCAGCCCTGCCCTGGCGGATGGGTGGAAGATGCCTGTTGGTAACGGGAGTGGTGTCTAGTGGTTAGAGCAGGGGAGGGTGGGAGTTATTACTCCTGGGTTCTGGTCCCAGCTTTGGGAGGGGAGTGGTGTCCAATGGTTAGAGCAGGGCACTGGGAGTTAGGACTCCTGGGTTCTGGTCCCAGCTCTGGGAGGAGAGTGGTGTCCAGTGGTTAGAGCAGGGCGCTGGGAGTTAGGACTTCTGGGTTCTGGTCCCAGCTCTGGGAGGAGAGTGGTGTCTAGTGGTTAGAGCAGGGGAGGGTGGGAGTTAGGACTCCTGGGATCTATTCCTATCTTGAAGAAGTGAGAGCAGTGTAACCATTAGCAAAGAGGAGCCCAGGACTTCTGGGTTCTGTTGCTAAAGGTGGGCTGGAGCGTGATCTAGTGGTTGGTGCTGGGAATTAGGGCAGCTGGGTTCTCATCGTGAACAGCTTGCTTCATCTGTCTGTGACTCAGTTTCTCTGTCTATAAAAGGGGGCTAATTATATTTACTCACTTCCGGGGGGGGGGGTTAATTAACATACACTTGTGAAGTGAGCCAAGGTTTTTACATGAGGAGGGTGAATGGTTAATCGGCTATGGATGAAAACGAGATTTGTTGTGGAGAATATCACTGCCTGGACTGAGGTTACCAGTGACATACTGAGGTGAACATAAGAACGGTCACAGGGGTCAGACCACAGGTCCATCTAGCCCTTCTGGTTCTGACCCATAATGGAGACCGGGGCCAGACACGCAGTTTGGATCTGGATCAGAACTTCCCTAGAATGTGCAGGTATTTGGATCCGGGGTTTTGGATTCTGGGTCTCACAAGGCCTAGGGCGGCACTTAGCCTTACTTTGAGGGCTTAGGTGGTTCCTGGAGCGGTGCCAGCCGAACCCACAGGATGGTTTCCCCCTGTGTGGCTGTTACCGAGGCTGCTTGGCTTGTGGTTCGCAGATCCGGGTAGAGCTGATGTACAACGAGAAGATCTGCAGCTCCAGCAGGCGCGACGGCCGGTTCCAGCAGGAGCTGGTGATCCAAGCCGGAGCCTCTCGAGCCGTCTCCTACGTGATCATCCCCCTGGAGGTGGGGGAGGTGGAGATGGAGGTGAGAGCGGCCGTCCATGGGCTCCCCATCGCAGACGGCGTGAAGAAGAAGCTCAGGGTGGTGGTAAGTGTCAGAGACGGCTGGCTACAGGTCGCGGCATCAGCTGGCTGGCTCGTGCTGCTGATTTTAAGCTAAGCATGGGTGGGCTTGTTCAGAAGTTAGCTGAGACCTCCAGGGAAGAAGTGGGGGTAACTCAGTAGGGGATGGTGCAAAGGGCAGTTGCACTGTAATGAACAAAGCGTCTGGCTCAGCTGGGGGCGCTTGCCCCTTGGAATCGTCCCTGGTGCTAGGGGGAGGAGGGGGGTATTGTGCCCCTGGGGTGCTGGAGCTCAGTAGGGGATCGACTTGGGGGTCCTACTAGCTGATGCCAGTGTGGGAGGGTGGCTGGGAGATGCCCACCAGCCTGCAGGGTCAGTTCTCTGCCGTTGGTCGTTAGTGGCTGGTGCTCAAATGTTCCCAGCGCTGGGGCTTGGTATACGGAGGATCAGGGGGTGGGTTAGGCAGAGACCTCGCCCAGTGTGCCCCCGCTCCTCAATGAGCCATTTGGCTCCTGTCTGGCTTTTCTCTCCTGCAGCCTGAGGGCATGAAAATCTTTAAGAACATCAAGAGCGTCCTGTTGGATCCGACTGCCCGCGGCTCAGGTAGGACCTGTTGGGGCGTCGCCCCCTGTGGGCCCGAGGCTCTGCTTCGAAATCCGCCGCCCCCCTCCCCGGAGAGTTGGTCGCTTATCAAACGTGTTGGGAGGAGCTGGTGGCTTTATGGGGCTGGTTCCACCTCCCCCCCAGAGTCACAAGGCACCGTGCTGTGCTGAGTGGGAAATGGCTGCCTTTAGAGGCTGAGCGGCAACTGATAACAGCCTACCACTGCAGCCAGCTAATGGAGCTAATCCTTTAGCTCAAGTGTGCCTCTGGGGATCCAGCCCAGCTAGCGTGAGGGGTGTTCGGGGCAAAATACAAATGAAATGAGAGCAGTTTAAGGAGGTGGGATGTTTCTGAAGATTCCCCCCATAATCAAACGCCCCCCGGCCCCCACCCCAAGCAGCTTGTATGTTTCATGGCAATGCGGGAGGCCCCAAAATTGCACACGGGAAGATAAACCTCTGTTCCTAAAGTGCCCTAAATTGGGAGCCTTCTTTGGACACTGCAGGGCTCTGGGTGGAAGAGCCGCTCTAGACGCTCTGGTCTCAATTGCTCACCACGCCAACACTGATACGTTCCGGGGGTGCTTCCTTCTGTGATCTGTGTGTTTCTTGCAGCCTCTGGGGAGCAGCTGGAGACAATCGGGCCCGTGGACATGAGTAATGTGGTCCCCAACACGGAGCCAGTGACCTTCGTCAGCGTGAAGGGTAAGGACTGGGGTGGAGGGGGGTAGGCAGAGATGGGTGCAAGAGAGAGCTGGTAGTGGGGTAGGGAAGATGGCAGCAAGAGGTCCCCATCCACCTCGTTTTAACCCGTTAGCACCAGGATCAAGGGCTTTTTCGCCCGGCTGTGGGCACTTAAGCTGTTTCTGATCAGCCCTCGAATCCCCCCACTGTGTGGCTAGGGAGAGAACACTCCCTAGCTTTCATCAGTAGCTCTCCAGGCGCTTTACAAGGGCGGGCAGTCTCATTAGTCCAGGAGCGATAGGCGGCAGGAGCGGCAGACGCTCTAGGGTGACCAGGTATCCGGTTTTCGACTAGAACACCTGGTTGAAAAGGGTCCCTGGCGGCTCCGGTCAGCACTGCCGACCGGGCCATTAAAAGTCCGGTTGGCCGTGTTGCGGGGCTAAGGCAGGCTAGTCCCTACCTGTCCTGGTACCACACTGTGCCCTGGAAACAGCCAGCAGGTCCGGCTCCTAGGCGGGGGGGCCATGGGGCTCTGCACGCTGCGCCCACCCTGAGCAACGGCTCCACACTCCCATTGGCTGGGAACCACGGCCAATGGGAGCTGGGGGTCGGTGCCTGCGGGTGAGAGCAGCGCGCGGAGCCTCCTGGCCCCCCCGTCTAGATACCAGACCGGCTGGCTGCTTCCGGGGAACGCGCAGCGTGGGGCCAGGACAGACAGGGAGCCTGCTTTAGCCCCACTGCACCGCTGACTGGGGGTCACCCGAGGTAAGCCCACGCCCCAACCCCAAGTCTCAACCCCCTGCCCCAGCCCTAAGCCCCCCAAACCTGGAGCCCCCTCCTGAATCCCATACCCCTCATCCCAGCCTCATACCAGAGACCACATCCCCAGCCCAGAGCCCGTACCCCGTCCCGCACCCCAACCCCCTGCCTCAACCCACAGCCCCCTCCTAAATTCTGAATCCCTTGGCCCCACCCCCCAGCCTGGAGTCCCCTCCTGCACCCCAAACCCCTCATCCCCAGAGCCCACACCCCTAGCTGGAGCCCTCACCCCATCCTGCACCCCAACTCCCTGCCCCAGCCCAGTGAAAGTGAGTGAGGGTGGGGGAGAGCGAGCCACCGAGGGAGGGGGAATGTAGTGAGTGGGGGCGGGGCCTAGGGGAAGGGGCGGGGCTAGGGTGTTCGGTTTTGAGAGATTAGAAAGTTGGCAACCCTAAGATGCTCCTAAAAGTTAGGGGGCCACTGGCATCCAAACTATGCCCCCACCTCTCACACTGCCCCTTCCTCCGAGGCCCCGCCCCCTCTTCCCCCCCAAGACCCCGCCGCCCGCTCGCTCCTCTCTTTCCCCTCCCCATCGCTCGCCCTTACGGACAGTAAAAAGTGATGTGGCCATGGTGCCCCCTGTTCTGGCACCCCTGGTTGGAGGGTGCAGCGCCCAACGAGGTGGGGAGGGGCCTGGACTTGGTGTTGGGGGGTAATGGGAGGAGGGGGCGGGACTGAGGG